CATAATATAATTAAGGAACTGTACTTATGATGCTATGATAAAGCATATTATTCTTTGCCTACCCAAGCTCTAAAAAGAAAGGCAATACAAGAAAAAGCTGTGCAAGAAGAATGTGGTATGAATAAGATGAAATTTAAAATATGGCATGATTTTAATCATCATTCAGAACTTAAGAAAAGAGAATTTATCCTGTCAAGAAGAGTGTCTTGTATGTGAACCAAGTATTAAGACATTGAAGTAAAAGAAGGATATATTATTTTTGCATGGTTTATGAATCTGTCATGGATAATAATTACATAGTGATAATAAAGGTACTTTTTATTATTTTTCAACTTTTTTATTGTTCCCCCACCCCCCATTTTTCAACTTTTAGAGTAAACTTACTAACATGTATGAAGATTTCATTAGGGTTATATACTAGAATTCATACATTAAAAATCATGACTAAGAGTCAAGATACAGCCAACAAAGAATGTGCAAGGAGGAGAGAAAAGGTGGAAGGAAAGCTAGTGGTGCAATTATTTTTTCCCATGATCAGGAGTTAGTCCATGAACTAACCCAAGTTCATTAAGACATTGAGGTACAGCCAGTCCTTCACACCTCTGGGTGCCGCACCAGGTGGAATCAGCCAACCATTGATGGAAAATATATTTGTTTAAGTTGCACATGTTCTGAACATGTACAGAGTTTTTCTATTGTCATTATTCCCTACATAACACAGCGTTGAAACTCTTACATAGTGTTTCCATTGTATTAGGTATACAAGTAACCTAGAAATGATTTAAAATATACAAGAAGGTTTGTATACATAAGCATAATTTATATAAGGGACTTGAGCACTCATGGAGTTTTGTATTTGCAGGGAGTCATGTAACAACCCTAGAAGATATGGAAGGGCTGCAGTATATTTGAAATTATAAATGTAAGCAAGAGGAAAAGAAAAAATATGAGAATAAAGAGTTTGTTAATGGGGAGGGAAAGAGGGGGTGAAGGGAGGGCAGGGACAAGGGGAAAAAATGAGAACCAAGACCTCTCATGTGAAGGTACAGGATCCCAGTAATGAATGTAACTGTATTGTAGACCTAAATCGTATCAGTAAACTCAATAAAAAGAGAAAAAAATATATAGGCAAGAGGAAAAATGAAGATAGTGTAACATCAAATAATGAAAAAGGTTAAAGAGAAAATTGTGGAGATAGTTAAAGCCTTATTTTTTATGACTGGGGCTTGGATTTTGTCTGGAATTTAAGTCTAGAAATAGAGACTAGAAACATTTTGAATTACAGAGGTAACCATCAGAAAACTAAAACCAGAAATAAGCCTCTGGGGAGAGGGTCTTTAGGGTTCCTCTTGTTCTTTTATGTCCTTCTTCAATCACCAGTACTTAAATGTTGGTATCCTCCAGAAATCAGCCCTTGGCCTCTGTCTCTCATAACACATGCATAGTGATTGGCTTGCACAACTATCTGTGAACTTTTGAGTCTTGCTGTCTTACCTCTAACCTGATTATTTTCCTGAATACAAGACCTGCATTTCCAAACATCTATTTCTGCAAGTCCCAGAAGCACTTAAAACTTAACATGTTCACAATGGAAATCATGATCTTAACTCATGAAATCTGTTTATATATTCCTTTGAATTTAGGCTTCAATTTCAATTATATTGAAATATAGTATACATATCATAAAAATCACTTGTATTAGGTGTATAATTCTTTGATATTTAGTAAATTTGCAGAATTATTTGAGAATTTCCCCAATCCAATTTTAGAACAAACTCAACCATTCTTAAAAGATCCCCCATGTTGATTTGCAGTTGCTTTCAATGCCCAGCCCAGTCCCGAGCAGCCATTAATCTTTTACTCTTTATAGATTTACCTTTTCTAGATATTTCACATAAATGTAATCATATATGATTTTGTGTGACTGGGTTCTTCCACTTAATATGTTTTTGAAGTTCATGTTTTAACATGTTCTAATACTTAATTCTGTGTTATTGCCAAATAGTACTCCATTGTATGGCCATACCAAATTTTGTTTACCCATTCATCAGTTGATAGACTTTTGAATTGTTTCCAGTTTGGAACCATTACGAATAAAGCCATTCTAACATTTGCATACAGGTCTTTGTGTGGACTTCTATTTTCATTTCTTTGGATACATTTGTATGATAAATTTAAGCAACTATCAAACTGCTTCCCATTTTATAGTCCCACCAGCAATACATGAGAGTTTTAGTTTCTCCTTGTCCATTCTAGAACTTCTTATTGTCCATCATCTCGACTATAGCTATTCTAGTGGATATAAAGTGTTATATCATTGTGGTTTTAATGTGCATTTCCCTAATATCTATTCCTTTACTTATTTAATTTCAGCAATACTTGAAAGTAATCCTTGATTTTCTTTCTTACTGTACTCACCTATTTTGTGGGTGTACCTCCTAGGTCTATCTTAATTATCCCTCTCATCCTAATTTTAATTGCTTTGGTTTTCATTATTTTTGATTGTTGAAATAGCCTCTAAACTGCTTTCTATGATAACATTTCCTCTGATTGATTTTCTAAAATGCCATGAAATGAATTTTGTAAAGTGCATTTTGTAATAACTTGTTTTCATGTCTGTCATTCCCCAGTCCAGCAAGGGATTGTTATTTGTTTAAGGGTAGTAGGCTACTTAGTACATGTTTTTTGATAGGGGAATGAAGAAATTATTCATAAATACCAGGGCTTTCATTTTCAGTGAAATGTTACCTTAAAAATCTTTACATTTTTTACTGTAGAATTACTGTACATGACTCTAAAGTTTATTTTAATTGTGCAAAAAGTACTTAATATAAAATAGCCAAGATATGTCTCTTAATAAATACATCTTGAATGTCATAATGTTGGATGCTTTCTCATAGGATTTAGTAGTCACTTCTGTATTAGGAGACAGCACAGCCATTCCATGGTGCAAATTAAGGGCACAGTACTGACTTTTCATAAAAGTCAAACACTGTAAGCTAAAATAACTTATGTGACCGTGTGTACATGTATCATTCTCCCCCCCGCCCTTGGTGCTAGGGATCGAACTCAGGACCTTGTATTTTTGAGGCAGGCGGTGGCACCACTGAGCTAAATCCCTGGCCCCTCATGTATCATTCTTATGGTTGTATAAAATTGCCTTTGTGGGAGATAATATATGATGCTAAAAATTGTTTTTAGATATGTAATTGTATAATTTTTAATATTTTAAAAGAACAAATATATTTATTTCTGTGTTTTATATCAGCTAAGTAATGTTAAAATTGTAGTTTTAGAAAGGATAATCAATCTAAATGCTTATCATACTTTAGATAATTATATGATGAAGGACCCTAGGCTTAATTTAAACAAAATTAGAGGTTTAGTCAATATTTAAAAATATTATTTCTAAAACTTAACTTTCTTATGCATGTAAAATAGCTTTGCCATAGTTTTCAGTAAGTTCTCATCAGTATTAGTCAATAATTATTAGTTCAATAATTATATCATTTCAAATTGGATATGGTATTATAAAGCTCTCAGAACTATTATCTTCTTTCAATTTTATAAGGTCTTCAAGTCATTATATATAAATTGTATATAGTTTATAAGGAAATTAATTTTTAAAAATCTCATGAGACACTTGTCCATTAGCTTCATATTGAAATTCCTTTTATTCCCAAACTTACATAACACTCCTAAATTATCCAGACATGAAATGATAAGTAGAGTCTAAAGAGTGGTTTATTTCATAACTCTGAAACTTGGACAGTGATTTGAGAGTGCAACTTAGCACACAGCTCCTTTTCTAAGTAGCATTCTGCTCTGTTTGCAACTCTGAACTGGTAGACTGAAGGGGTGGTTCCCGCAGGTGCCTGACCTCTGTGCACAACCTGGTCCGCCTCACTCTTGCCCAAACTGCTGTCCTATCAGTCAGATTTTTGACGTGTTACAGAACGCAAGTCACAGCTGCTGCAGTCTGCAGTATTCAAAAACGTAAAATACTGCATGTCTAACACATTCAGTTTTTATGTGAATGAAAGTTTTATTAAGGTAAGCCCTGCTTGTTTGGAAAAAAGAAGCTCAGAAACAGGCAGTGATTATTTCAGATTTATGTAAGTGTATGTTTTCTTTTCCCTCCCTCCCCCACCTTCCCTGTAAGAGAAACAGTGGTTGGCTTTGGGAGAAGACCTTGGTATTACACCTGTGTTAGTAATAACTCATAGATTAAGATTTCTGTTACAATCTTAAGTCAGGAGTACATTGCTTTTATAAAATAGAATTGAGAGCTTGTAACGATAATGTAAGTACAAAATGCTTCATCTCTTCAAATATATTTTAATTCCTTCGTTTCTGTTATAACTAGAAAATTTCACATACAGGCATGTCTCATTGGCTACTTTGCTTTGCCAGATACCAGATATTTTTTTTAAAGAATGGCATGTGTGTAGATTGATATACACATTATGTGCAGTTTATGGTAAATTTAGAAATGCTTTTATGAAATTTTTTAAAGGCTCTATATAAATGCAAACATTTTAAATGCTGTTAGCAATATTTCACTATTTTCAAGGTATTGAAAAAGTGGCAGTTACTCTTCTTAAAAGTCAGATTATTAGTAGCCTTTATGAAAGCAAAAAAGTCAATGCAGGTCAGTTTCATTTGCTGCCTCATATGTAATCTCATAGTACACTACTATATGTAAAATATTTGTTAAAAGCAAAATTTATCAAGTTTTTTGGCAGATAATTTTAAGGTTGAAGTATATTACACAGTGATTTATACTCAGCACATTTATATTTTTAATGTTTATTGTTTAGTTGTATCTATTCAGATCTTATTGATATATAATGACTAAAAAAGTAGATATTCTACTTAATTTTGTTACATATAATCTTGCTTTCAACATTTGAGAGTATCTCTGTTAGAATATTTGACATCTTGTAATGCCCTTGAGAGAAAATAATTTTTCCTAAATTATTAATTTTAAATTATTTTAGGTGCTGTTTTTCAACCCTAATCTTTTCACCAAGAATGAAACTATTTAAAAATTAAGATGCCAACAGGTAATTTCTTGTAAGTTCATACTTCTATCAATGTGTGTCATTTAGAACAATAGCTGTGTATTAACACAAGGCTTTAGTGTTACAAAAATCATTCCAAACATGAAATATTTTGGTTTTGAACTTTTTTTACAATAAAACTTTCATTTTAGATTTACATGTTTTAATGGTTTTTACAAACTGACAGATTTTACCTTACTCTCTAATACCAATTTTTTAAAGAATAAATGAAATCAGTAAAAATAAAAATAGGTTCAGAGACAGTAATTCAGGTTAGATGAATGTTTTCTTTATTGATAAAATATTAAGTATTGAGATAGATATGTTGTTATAATCTGGTAAAAAACAAAGACATTAATTTTGGCTGTGAAAAGGATACTTTCCTCAGTAAGAAATCATATGTAATGACTTTCATTACATTCTGATGTGATATGTTAATTGACATTTTGTTAGCCCCATTACTCCTGAAAAATTGGATGATATTATTAAAAGTTGTTGGATTATAAGAAAGCCTGACATTATGATAGAGAGGAAAAAATACTTAGTCTTCGCTGGTTTATTTTCTTTTTTTAATATTTAAATTCTCTGTAGTTCTATTTTCCTCTGTACATTTATAACTTTTATAATAGGATGCAGAAACAAGTTTTTCTTAATTCAAAGTAAAAATATTTTTAAATGTGAAGCTGAGATTGTGGAGACATTTGTCTCATAGCAATTATATCTTAACAGGTACTGATTTCTTAGTGGAAAAAATATTAGAAAAGTTTTTTATTGGTACATTTTAGGTATACAGTACATTCATCATTGGGATCTTGTATCTCTACATGACAGGTCCTGGTTCTCATTTTTTCCCCATACCCCTGTCCTCCCTTCACCCCCCTCCCTTCCCTATTTATAAAAACTTTATTTTCATTTTCTCATATTTTTTTCTTTTCCCTTATTTCCTTTCCCCTAGAAAAGTTTTTTTAAAATTAGAACATTATTTTTTTAAATGCCAAGCTGGATAGCAGATGGAAGTATTGCTATTTTCTTCTTCACATTAGATGATTCTAGGTCATTTCTTAGAAACAATTAGGAACTAACAATGTTCAATTTAAAAGCAATATAATACTCTCTAAGGCCAAAAGATAAAATCTTCTGATTATAGATAGTAGTAAACGATTGATAAATTTGAATATATTTTCTTGTAATTATTCTGTACAGTGGTTTTGATGTCCAAGAGTGAAAAGAAAGGGACTTTTTTTCTTTTTCTTTTTAAAGATTAAGGGGTACAGTCCTAAAACTCAGGAGTCTGAAACAAGAGGATCTCTGTGGGATAAAGGATACATGAAGAGTTCACGATTAGCTTGAACTGCAGAGCAAGACCCTGTATCAAAAAAATAAATAAGTAAAATAAATTTAAAAAAATAAAGCGTATGGGCTGAAGTGAGGAAGGAAGGAAGGAGGAAGGAAGGAAAGTAGGAAGGAAGGAAGAAGGTACCAAGGGAGAAAGGGGAGACAGAGATGAAGATAGATAAAGGGAAGACCAGAGATAAGGAAGAAAAGGTGGAGAAAGAAGAGGGAAAGAAAGGACACAAAAGATAAATGGAGGTCTATTTTCTTAATATTTTGAAAGTTTTAGCTATATATTAAGCAACAGCTTAGGTTTTTTTGTTTTATTTGATAAATTTAGATAATCATATGATTACTAGCTCTTCCTAAAATCCCCTTGCAAAACAAAGCCTTATGAGCTTAAATTATCTTTGGTTTTTGACACTAGTTGTCAAGTATAGAGGTATTTCGAGATTTTTTTTTTTTTTTTGGTACTGGGGATCAAACTCGGGACCTTGTACTTGCAAGTCAGGTGCCAGAACCACTGAGCTAAGTCCCTGACATTTAGAGGTAATTTTGAAAATCAAAATTCAATGTGAATTTTCCCCCTTATATATTTAGATTTAAATATATTTGAGAACTAAAAGGAAAAAAGTAAAAATCTAAATAGTCTTAAGAAGACAGGAAAACTTCAAATAATGCTGCAGAATCACTGTAGTAAATGAGAAAGGCCCTGTTCTAAGACCCTGATAACTGCCTTTATTCCTAACTAATGTAGAGATTTCTTAGTTCTGTTATATTCACCTAAATCCATTTAAATTAATGGCCATGTCCTTAGGATGGATTAAGTTTTCTCTCAAAAGGACAGACATCCTTGCTTATAAAATAAGGAATAAATTTTCATTTTGAGAAAATTTTTTATTGTAACTTTTAGAATTGCTATTTTATTCTAAGAATTGTTTCTGGTTGCACTAGAAGACTTTTAATGTGCCTTTCTCTGTCCCATATGCATATGTGTTTTAGATCACGAGGAGCCCTGTGGTCCCAGTCACAGGTCATTTTGCCTGAATGGGGGGATTTGTTATGTGATACCTACTATTCCCAGCCCATTTTGTAGGTGAGTGAAATGGACTGGGGGGAGAGGGTATTTTTATTTTGATTTTTTTATCATTTACTAACTTCTTTGAGAAGTGATTAGAAGGAAACAAAAGGTATAAAATGAAAAAAGTTTGGGAATACTCTTTATGCCCTCTTTACGGAAAAATTGTTTTTAAAACAACAAAACAGTGAGTGGTAAATAAAAAATGTCATTCAAAATGTTTATTTTAAAAATCGGTATTGGTAGTTTCTTGCCTGGACAGAGACAAATAATCCATTTTAGTGAGCTTTTTGACTTTTGGCAATTTAGGAAGACAGTTCTGTTTAATACTGCTGGCAGAAGAGCTGTTGAATTCAGTAATGTAAGAAACTCAATGTGAGTCAATTTAAGTTTAAAATATATAAATACAGGCTGAGTTGGTACCAAAGAAAATATAGTTAAGTTTTCTATTGTTAGTAACAAATTTAAAAAAAGCCTCAGCTCTTATTATTGTTTTCAAATAATGTGATTCATTTTGGGAGCATAGTTAGAGCAAGAAATTGACGAAAGCTTTCAAAGTAGTACTTGTACAGCTGGCTTCTTGTAGTTTAGTTAAGATGTGAGGGCATATAATAAATTTCTTCTAGTATGAATAAGCAACATACTAGCAGAGAGGCTCATGGGCTTTGTGGAGCTGCTGTCTAATCACCTCAAGATACTTTGCAACATGTGTGATTTACAGTACTCATTTGTTCTGTGACTGAAATGAGAAGTGTAGAATCTACATTTAAAATTTAAGATTTTGGGCTGAGGAATTTAGCTCAGTGGATCCACTGCCTGCCTTACAAGCACAAGGACCTGAGTTCAATCCCTGGTACCCCCCGCCAAAAAAAGATTAAGATTTTGTTAGATGAAAGGATAGAACAGTAAAACTTATGGGAAAGATTAAAGATGTTGGAATTTGGTTTGGAGCAGAGGAGACTGGTAAGTAAGTTCACACTTAGCTCAAAAAGTTTTTAGGGATTTTCATGTAGGGAATAGTACCTGGTAAAAGGAAAGGAATAAAGTAACAAACTAACAATTACTCAACACCCACCATGTGCCTCAACAGTACATTTTTCTTAAAATCTAATTGCTGAGATGTAAATTATGTTGATAAACTATATTCACTTAAAGTGCACAATTGATGAATTTTGGTAAATGTTTACACTGTATCTGTGAGACCACCACAATGTCAAAACATTTCCATTCCCTTCCTGCACCCCACCCCAAATTCTGGGCTGCACTTGTTCATTTATGCTTCTACATTCATTCTTACAAAAACCTTAGAGAAAGGAGGCAGGGGGACCTTAAATAGAAAAGTAACGAAAGAAATTAAGTGACATGGCAAAGGTCACACAGAAAGAGAGGACCTTAGATAAAACTCCCATTTGCTTAACCTTATGTTCATTCTGAATTCTCTCAAAGTCGATAAGGCATATGACATTTATAAAATGAAATTTAAATATGTATTAGCAGATATAAACTTAACAATTAAAAGATACTAATGGTTTGTGTCTTACTTCGCTGGTGGCTAGCAGGGTAAATACTGTCCTTTCTTCATTGAGTTGCCTTTGCACCTTTGTCAAAAATCAACCGACTATTTGTGAGCTTGTTTCTGGACCACTCCAGCTGTTGATCAGTGTTTCTGTCTTTTTACCAGTCCAGGTAGTGTTGATGATTATGAGTTTATGATAAGTGAAATTGAGTCCTTAATTTTATTCTTCCTTCTCACTGGTCTTTACCTTTCTTTTCTAATAGATACTATTTATTGTTTAAAAGGTTTCAAGCACATTTTAACTTAATCCTACAAATTTTATACTTTGCTTTCCAGTTCTAAGTTTAAAATTTTTTCCATTATAGTTTTTTCTTTAACCTGTGGGTTATTATTACCTTTTTATATCTAATTACACTGTGGTCCATGAACTTGGTCCATCAAACTTTTTACCCTGAATAAATTGAAAGAAAGAATTAGGGAGAACTGGGATTTGGTGACTAAGTCAGGCTCTGGGACTTATCCCTATTTCCCTTATCCTCTCTGCCCCTTAGTAGCATTTCTTTGCTAACATAGTGTTCTAGTGTCCCTCTTTCTTCAGTCCCAGTTCTATTTACAATACTGCTGTAGTTATTTTTCTAAAAAGCAGATCAGCTTTTCTTTTCTATTCACAAAATTTCCACAGGATTCTTATGCCCCAGGGTACAACTGAATTTCTTAGCCCGGCATTCAGTGCTCTTCATATTAGTCTGCTCTGTTTGTCATACTTTCCAGTAACAACTTCTTACATATCTTGAGTTCTAACATCCTGAACTATGTGAAGTTTCTCAAACAGGCTGAATGTGACTTGCTTTAGTAGATGTCAGTCTTCCTGTCTGAAATGCCTGTCTTTCTTTGTCCATGAAGTAATTTAACTTACCCTTCTGGGAAGCTTTCTTTGTCCTAACCAGACAGATGCAAGAGCTCTTTCCTTTGTGCTCCTGTCGTATCACTATGATACTAGCATAGGTAAACTTGCAGACCAGTAATTTGTAAAAGGTTTAAATTTTGACTTACTCCAGTTTGTTTTCTTTTGTTCTATAGCTAAGAAATAAATGCCAAATCTAACAATAAAGTTTTTAACCTAATTTTTTCTGCTAAGAGTTTTCCTCTTACATTTAGGTCTTTGGTCTGTTTTGAGTTAATTTTCATATATGGTATAAAATAAGGTCTTTTGAATATGTCCAGTTTTCCCAGCACCATTTGTTAAAAAACTATCTTTTCCTCTTTGAATGGTTTTGGAGACTTGACCATATGTGGCAGGATTTATTTCTGGGCTCTATATTCTACTCCTCTATATGTTTACCTTTATGCCATTATTACACCGTCTTAATACCAAAATTATATATAAAGTTTTGAAGGGTTTGTTTTGTTTTGTTTTTTTGTTTTTTGTTTTTGTTTTTTTGTACCAGTGATCAAACTCAGGGCCTTGAGCTTGTGAGGCAGGTGCAGTGCCATCGAGCTAAATCCCTGGCCCCTGTTGTATATTAAATTTTGAACTCAGGAAATTAAAGTACTCAAATTTTTTCCTTCTAGAACATTTTGACTATTTGACATTCTTTGAAATTCCATATGAATTTTGGAGTGGGTTTTTCTATTTATTTAAAAAAAGTGTCTGGGGCCAGGGATTTAGCTCAGTGATTCTGCCATCTGCCTTGCAAGCGCATATGACCCGAGTTCGATCCCCAGTTAAAAAAAAAAAAAAAGCATCTCTTTGGTTTTATTCATTTTTTTAAAACGAGGTCTCACTGTGTTGCCCAGCTGGTCTTGAATTCATAGGATCAAGCAGTCCTCCCTCTCATCTTCAAGTAGCAGGGGCTACATGCCCATACCACTGTGCCCAGCTTCTATTTGGTTTTGATCTGATTGTGTTGAGTATTTCTAGAGCTATTTTTTATTTATCAGACATCATGCATGAAAACTACAGAGATAATTTAAGACTTTTGATGATACTATCTTCCTTCTGAAACACTAGTACTCATAGATGATATAATCAGTGATTGAGATTATTCTAAGCTAGGATTTGGCTGCTGTATAAATTAATGTATCTGGTATACCATGTTGTCAAAAATGAACTTTGCAATCAGCTTATCTATTTCCAAAGAATCTTGCAAGGATTTTTATTGGAATTGAATGTTTAGGATAAATATGAGAATTGATATCTTAGTAAAGATGTAGACTTCTAATCCCTGAACATGTCATATACCTTGATTAAATTTATTTCTGTAATACCTGTTTTGTCACACTAGTGGCACATTAGTGGGGGTGTTGTATCTTTCATTTGTTTTTAATACTATATATTTAATAGTTTTGTGTTAGCATTTAAAATACCATTTTCCAAATGCTAAGTGCATTTTAGAAATAAATATCATAATGATCTTATGTGTAATGATCTTGCTGAATTCGCTAGTCCAAGAGAAATGGCAATTATATCATCCTTGAGATGACAGCCATACTTCTTTTTATTTACTTACTTATTTTTGGATTTTTGAGACAGGGGTCTCACTATGTAGTTGAGTCTGACTTGGAACTCACTGTGTATCTCAGGCTGTTCTCGAACTCCCAGCAATCCTCCTGCCTCAGCCTCCCGAGTGCTGGGATTACAGGCGTGCACCCATGCCCAGTCAGCCATACTTCTTTTTATCCAGTCTGGAGGGCTTTGTCTTGCTGAGTTACTTTGGCTTTAGCAGAACCTTCAGTATACTGTATTTAATAGAAGTGATGAGAATACTCATTCTACTCTGGTTTCTGACCTCAAGGAAAGAGATCTTAGTATTTCATTATCAAGTATTATTTAAGTTGTAGGTTTTGTTGATATATTTTAATAGATTAAGGAAAATTTCTGTACTCTTTGGAGTGTTTTTAAAATCATGATTGAGTTTTGTTTTTCAATTGCTTTTTTTTCATCTATCAAAATAGTCATTTTAAAATTTGATGAATGCCATAAATTATATCAGTGTTCATTGCTTCCTAAAGATATGTTTAAGGCATATTCCATACCTATATAAGGCATATTTAAAATGTATATAGAGTTTACAGTTTGATTAATTTTGACACTGTACATTCAACCAGACCCTAACAATAAAGATAATGAACATATCTATCTACTACCCTTCAAAGTCTCTTTATACCACTTTGCAATTCACCCCTTATTTTTGTTCTTAAGCATTGATTTGCACTCTATAATCTGTCATTAAGTTTATTGTAAAAAATCATTCTTAATGTTTATTTCCTCATTTAGTAAAAAAACTAAAATTGGTAGAAGAGATTAACTCTTCAGAGGAGTAAAAAAATATAGGAACAGAAGATGTAGGGAACAGCCACTACCTCTAAGCTGAGGGGGAGAATTCAGCAAAGGACAAAGTGGGAGGAGTCCCACCTTGATGTGGCTGTGGTCCCATTGGTGCATGGAGAAGTTCTCGCAGCAGGATTCTCCACAGAAAACATCCATGTGCTACTGCAAGTC